TTCTTTCTTTTGTTTTTGTTTTCGCTGCTGTCTTTGCTTAATTTGCTTGTGTAAAGTTTTTCCTGATGTTTCAAAAACTGCTTCTTACTTTGGCGCTTAAAAGTATGTGTATGCGTGTGGTGTGTTTGTGTGTGGTGTGTTTATGTGTGGTGTGTTTGTGTGGGGTGTTTGTGTGTGTGTGTGTGCATTTTGGCAATTGTGCGAACGACGCTGGGCGCTCTCAATTTGTTTTGCGACCAGCACTGTTTTTTTTTTTCATTTTCTTTTTTTTGTTTTGTTTTTTTTTTTTCGTTTTAAATGCATTTTCACTCACTTCATAACCAGCGGCTGGCTTTTGATAAATGTATGCAGTAGGATGTACATATGTATGTATGTATTGTATTGTATTGTATGTGGTTGTAGGTCTATATACATATGCTGGCATGTATGTATATATTAGGTATATATAAAAAACAAAATGAATGATTAAACATAAGATACGCTTGAAGCAAAGTAATACACACAAAAATCATCATTTACAGAAAAATTATCGCTTGATTATCAAAATACATATATATATATGTTTTTTTGCTTTTTTAATAACGGCATATATAATTTCATCTCATTTTTTGGCTGCTTTTTGCGTTTTCTAAACAATCACGAAACGAAACAACGTTAGCAAATACGTTGCATTTGTTTTTGTTACGTTAACGGTTAATGATTAACGGTTAACGTTACGTTACGTTGCATTGCGTTGCGTATGTTTTCTTGGTTACGTTTTTTGTTTTTGTTGGTTTTTTCAAAAGTTGCATTCTTCATACTTTCAAAAATATATGTTCTATATCATCTTTGTATATGTACATATATATATTTGTAAAAATATATACATATATATATAGCTAAATATATATAGAGAGAGATAAAGAGAGACTGAGACAGACACAGTAAGTTGAATAGTTTGAGAGACAGTCAGTGTGAAGGAGACAGAGAGATAGAGAGAATTACTGTGTAAAGGTTTAGCAAAATGATTGCCTCAACTTTACAAGTTGCAGTTCCAGTTGAATTTCATAAACTTTTTCAATTTTTTTTGTTTGTTTTTAGTTTTTAGTTTTTTTCGTTTTTCGTTGCATCTTTTCAGATTGTTACGCTTAAAATTTATCAGTTTCAGTTTCAACTTCTTTTTCTCTTTTTTTTTTGTTGTTTTTGTTTTGTTTTTGCTTATGTTTCGTTTAACTCTGTATGTGTATGCGTGTGTGTGTGGTGTGTGTGTGGTGTGTGTGTGTGTGTGTGTGTGGTGTGTAGGGGGTGTGTGTGTGGGTGTTCACAACAACTTATAGGTAATACAATACAAATATCGCGCTTTATAGGTTTTACTTCTTAAAAAAAAGAATGTGTGCCTCATGTCATCCATAATACATATTAATAGCCATAAAGCTTTGGCTTTGGCATAGCCATCAGACATTGTCTATATATATATACATATAGTATATAGTGTAATATACATATATAGATATATATACACGACAATAATACAAATACATAACATATATATTCAGCCATTGTCGGCTTGGGCTGTTACTTCGTTTGTTTTTTGTTTTTCATGTTTTTTTTTTCGTTTTTTCTTTTTTGTTTTTCATTTTTAATTGGTATTTAATTAGTATTTTTTATAAGTCTATCACATCATCACAATTCGGTTGCATAAAAAAACGCCCAGACAGCGGGCGGGGTGGGGGCGGCGAGGATGTCGTCATCAGCGATCCGATCCGATCCACCAAACCACCAACACCAACACCGGCACAAAGCCTGGATCGATTTTTTCACTTAGTAACATTGTGTATACATATACATATAAAAAATAATATAGTATTTAGTTTTCAGCTTCTAAAACAAACAGAGAATTTTTTAAGCGTATGAGAGAGATTAATTAACAAACAAAATGAAAAGAGAAATAATAATAATAAAAACAAAAACAAAATAATAATAAACAATGTCTTCCACTTATGGTATTCGTATGTATGTATGTATGTATGTATACATATATATATACATATAAATAAATAAATATCTATATATATATATGTACGCATCCATTTATGTATGTATGTATTTTCTTTTCTTTTCTCTTCATCATTTAAATGTAGTTTTTTGTTACAAGGAGATCCATGTGGTGTGTTGTTCCTTCATTTAGCTGCTAAGGACATACAGATGTATGCAAATATGTCAATGTAAAATTATATCATCATCGATATATGTTGTGTAAAAGAAATGTTGCTGTTTAACATACTCTACGTGTTTTTTTTTGTTTCCTGTCTCTTTACTGCTTAACATGTTTGTTTTATTTTCTTTCCTTTCTTTCTTTCTTCCTTTTTTTTTCTTTTGCTTTTTGGGTTTACTTTCTTAAATTTCCTCTTCTTTTGCTGGCTTTGTACTGCTTTTCCTTTAAGCTTTGTTCTTTTCGTTTTGTTTTTCTTTTTATAACATAAATCAATTATGTGGCATGTTCTTTGGAGATACAATTAAGTGAAAATACTTGAATATTGAAGGATAGATGGGGGGTGTATTAAGGATGAACTTAGAAAATTGTTTAATACTAAAGGTTCTAGGCAACAGGTTGGGCAGGCAACAACTTGGACCAAGACAGCTAACCTATCAACTGGCTTATATATATATGTATATATATATATATATATGTGTGGGGAAAATAGCTACAAATCTCCAATATCTTTGATATCAAAATTTTCAGGCTATCAATCTAGAAAGTTTCGTACACACACATATGTATGTATGTATATGTATTTATGTATGTATGTATAATTTAAAACTGATGACAAATGATGAAAATGAAACCTCGGCTACTACACTAAAAAAAAAAAACAAAAATAATAATTTGATTTATATATATATAAATATATATATATATACCTTTGTTTCTATATATGTATATATATATATGAATATATATTTATATATATATATATGTATATGCATTCCTGTTCTGTATTATTATTATTATTTTTGTGTGTTTTTGGCTCTTGGTTGTGTTCTGTTCTGCTTTGCATTTGAATTAATTTGTTCTTGTTTTTATGGATGAATGTGGCGTATTTTCTTTTTCATTTCCTTTCATTATTTTTTAATCAATTTTGTTGTTTTTTATTGTTTCAAATAAATAAATTAAACTTGATGCTTTTCATTTTTTCCAGTATTTGCATTGAACTTTTGAAAAAAACATTCTGCTTTTCGAATGTGAATATCTATACAGTTACACACAGATTCAGATTTAAAAAAAAAAAAAAAAAAAACAAGAATTAAATTTCAGTATAATTATTTCCTATTTTACGCATATGGAAAATTGGATGTAAATGTAATTAAATAAAATAAAATCGGTTTTTGCCTTTCCGTTTTTGTTTTTTGTTTAACTTTAAGATACGCAAGATCAAGCAAATATATGCAAGACTATATATATATCTACATATAAATACATATATAGTAAAAAACAAATAAACAAAAATATATATTTATATATTACTCGAACATTTAAGTGTTTTTTCCAATACATATTTCATTGTTTCTTTGATTCGTTTACATACTTCTACCAAAGCAGCGCTGCTTTTTTGTCCGCCCCCTTTCGGGGGTTTTTTCTTTTGTGAAAAATTACAAATTTCTAAATATGTGTTTTCAATTTTCAGTTCATTTGGTTTTTCTTTTTGTGTATAGCAATTTTACTCTCGTCGAAAAACGATTAGCTGCATTTCTGTGTGTGTATGTGTGTGTCTGTGTAAGTGTGTGTGTGTGTGTATGTATGTGTGTGTGTGTTTGTTTGTGGGTGTTTTCTTTGTTTTTCTTTCTTTTGTTTTATAGAATTTTGGTATTCATATTCTCAGTTCGGAGTATTATTAGCATAGTTTTGTTATTATGAAAATATTTTTTGTGTTAATCATTTTTGTATATATATTATATAAGCAAACCGTTAATTTCATACCAACCAAGTTAGTGAAAAGGTTTTAAACATCTTATTTTTTTGTTGTTTTCTTTTTCATTTTTCATACAATTTTCATGTGTGCTGGTGTATGTGTGTGTGTCTGTGTGTGTTTCTATAACAAATTACTGAAATATCCGATTTGTTGTCGTTTTAGTGGTTTTCTTGTCGGTATTTATGTATACGCTTTGTGGGTATATCACTTAAAAATACGTTTTGACAGAATGCTTAACAAATTGTGTGAAATGTGTACAAATTATGTGTGTGTATGGATGTGTGTGTGCGTGTGTGTGTGTGTGTGTGTGTGTATGGATGTGTATTTGTGTGTGTTTGTCTGTGTGTAAATTAACAAAACACTTTTTAGCATATTTTGAAAATCAAACGAAAAAAAGGAAAGTAGAGTGTATCATAATATCTAACTAACTCTTAAACATACGAAGAACATGCAATCGCTGCTCGCGCCGAAGAATGCTTACAAAACTATTATTAGTTATTTCAATAGTTAATTGTTATTGCTTTCTTTTACCGAGCGTTTCGTTCAAATTTGTTGTTGTTGTTTAACATCAAGACGGCAGTTTTTGGCGGCACTGTTGCTGTTGTTGTTGCTGTTGTTTGTGATTTCTGCTGTTTCCTGTTGTATTCGTTGCATGGAAAGAGATGGCACGAGTTAATAAACAATGCTCACAAATTATAAATATTATAAATAAAGAAAAAAAACAACCACAACAAATAATTGCAACTACTGTCACTTGCCACTCACCCATACGTTTTGTTGTTGTTGTTGTTGCTTCTGCTGCCGCCAAAGGAATAACTCAAAAAGTTTGTCTGTCTATCTGTCTGTCTGTCTGTGTGTGTGTGTGTTGTGTGTGTGTTGTGTGTGTTCTCCGTTTAGCAGAAAAATAATAAATATCAATGAAAATGAAGATACATACATATGTGTGTATATACGCGATATATAAATAATATATATATATATATTTATATATATATATAAAAAAAAGAAGGAAGTTGTGCTTCTGCAATTTTTTTTTGTTTTTGATTTTTTTTTTTTTTTTTTTTTTTACTTTTTATACTTTGATTTTTTTTTTGTTTTGTTTTTCGTTTGTTTGGTTTTTGGTTAGCCAACTCGTATAAATTGTAGCCAGTTGTGTCCGTGTTGTTGCATGTTGCTTGCCCATGTTGCAAAGTTTGGCTGTTGTAAGCGACAACAGTTGTTGGTGTTTTTTGTTAATGATCATCGATCGAATTACATTATTATCCTATATACACAACATACATATAGATATGTATGCAATGTGCTGTGTACATCATGCTGCTTCCTTCGCTTAATGGGTGGAGGAGGGGCTTTTATGATGGTTGATGGATATTTTTTGTGTGTTCATTTTTCGTTTTTTTTTTTTCCGATTCGAACACGAATCGAGCAGAGTCGAATTTACAATTATTCATTTATTTACTACGCGTGTTCTTCTCGTGTTTGTGTGTGTGTGTGTGTCTTTAGATGTTTGTCAGTAGTAGAATGTGTGTGTGTGTGTGTGTTGTGTGTGTGTGTGTGTGTGTGTGTGTGTTGTGTGTTGCGTGTGTGTGCCTGATTTATCTTCTTCATGCTCTCTGTTGCATCTCTTTGTTATATGTTTGTTAATTGGGATTGTTGTTGCACTTCTTGTTGGAGTTGAGAGAAAGAGACAGGATTTTCTTCTTTTTTTTTGTTTTTGTTTTTGTTTCTGTTTTTTTGTTTTGTATTGGGGTGGTTGAGTAGGCGTGGCCATCTTAATGCTGACCCGTCTGCTCAATGGTGGCGCCCGGTCCGGGTCCGGCCACTGCTGGGGCAAACTGATGATGCTGTGTGGTATAGTATGCGGCCGGCATACTGAATTGGCTGGCATATGGATTGGTACCGGGTGCCGCTGTTGGTGCCAGCACACCGGATGCGTCATACATGTAGGCGGTGGCCGGTGGTGCAGCCGCAACCGGTGCACGTCCAGCGCCACCGGCAACAGCAGTTGCTACGGCCGTTATCGGTGGCGAATTAGCTGGCGTATAGTGAACCATCGGTGTGCTGACACCAGCCGATGCATATTCCTTGAAATTCTTATCATCGCCGCCTTTGGGCTTTTGTTGTTGCTGCTGCTGCTGCTGTTGTTGTTGCTGCTGCTGTTGTTGTTGCTGCTGCTGTTGCTGCTGCTGCTGTTGTTGCGGTTGATAGTGCTGTGGAGTCTGTTGCTGCTGTTGTTGCTGCTGCTGTTGCTGTTGATAATCACGCTTGGGATACTGCTGGAAACGTGGCATGCCACTGCCAGCGGCAACCGTATTTGGCTGCACAAACTGTCCACGTCCGCGATAATTTGGCTGCATAAACGCGCCAGCCTGTTGGCTCAAATGGGGCTGTCCAGCATTATGGGCGCCAGCCGCGCCGCCAACAGCAGCACCACCGGCCCCATTGTGTCCCATTATGGCACGCGGACCGCCATTGTTGAACGGTGCACGTGGGCGATAGGTGGCACCGCCGCTGACGCTGCGATTGCCAACATCGATGCCCGGCTGCTGGTTAAGTGCAGCGCCAGCGCCGCCGCGATTCCAATTGCCAACGCCTCCGCCTCCGCCGCCATTGGACTGATAACTGTTGGCCCCACCACCGCCAGCATATTGCTGCTGATAACTGGTGCGATTGTTGTAGCCATTGTTGGCGCCATTGCCGCCGCCCGCCTGATAGTTGAGCGGATTGCTGCGCTGCTGCTGATAGATGCCGCTATTGCCGTTGCCGCCGCCATTGTTATTCCAGCGCTTGTTGCCACGATAATTGCCCGAATTGGGCATGGCCCGGGCCAAATCGAGCAGCTCCTGCGACGGCGTCTGCTCGGCCTCCTCCAGCACCGAGATCAATTCGCGTGCCTGCTTGGCATTGTCGGGCGTAAAGAATGTGTACGCAGTGCCCAATTGCTGGCAGCGTCCGGTGCGTCCAATGCGATGCACATAGTTCTCCGACGAGTTGGGATAATCATAGTTAATCACATACTGCAAATCCTCAACGTCCAAGCCGCGCGATGCCACATCGGTGGCAATCAATATATTCGATTTGCCATTGCGGAAATCCCTCAACACCGAATCACGTTCACTCTGCGACTTGTCGCCATGTATCGATGTCGCTGTATATCCCTCGTTGCGTATTATCTGCAATATGTCCTCCACCTGCAAATAGATTGTGCGCTTTTAGTTAATCGCCATATCGCTAAATCGGTTATCATTTTACAGCCATTTCCCTTTCCCTCTTGGAATTCAAATCTTAAGATATATCGGCCCTAAGAAAACTCCACTTCCCACCTCATCAATGATCAACAAAAAAAAAAACTACGGCTTGTGACTTGAGAATCATAAAACTGGATTCATAAACCAAAAAAATAACCAAGGAGGATTCTTATCGAGACGATATGTAAAGACGTGAACAGACACAGTACGCGGCGCCAGTCGTGACCGTAATAAAACCTCCCTCGATAAAAGTTCTCCGAACTGATAGGATAATGGATCTAGACGCATTTGCAGCAGTAAATATGTACCTAGACAAAGTCCTAAGTAGGATAAGAACAATTGTATATAACTGTAAGATAATTTAGAAGTTTTCAATAAACCTGCCGAGGCAATTCGGCAGAAGTCTATGTTCGATACTTATTATTATTATTGGGGAAGCTGCACCGCGACCTATTTGATCTATTGTGCCCCCTTCTGAGCTTACAGCTCCTCCATCAGTGCCTCCCTATGCCACAATACTCTGGTCCTGTTAGGGGCCTTCCTGCCCCCATTCTTGCTTGCTTGTCAGCCGCCTCGTTTCCCGCTATGTCCCTGTGGCCCGGGGCCCATCGTAGGGTGAGCCTGTTGTGAGTCCCGAGTAGGTCTAGCTTTCAACGAACTTCATGGAATACCTTCGATGTTATCTTATCTCTCCCCATTATAGTTTTCAATGCTGCTTGACTATCGGATAGGATGGATATATCCGTATTCCGATAGTTACGTTCTATGTATGTTCGATACTTAAACAACGTCGTTGTGTTCTAAATTGGCTCTTGGGATCACCTTTCAATTGTAATTCACACCTTCATTAAATACAAAAGCCCATTTTAAATACGACTTTTCAAACATTAAGGATATCTATTATTTATATATTATCTTGCTTATGATCTGTGCGCTAATTCGATTATTGGATAGAGATTCTCTGACAAAGCTAGACTTTCTAACGCATATCTAAATAAATATATCTATATATGTCTTCTATATGTGTGTTGGGAACATTGTTTCGAGCTAACCTTGATCTTGGTCTCCACAAATATGATGATCTTGTTGCCTGCGTTGGCCGCATTGTTGCTGGGCGTTATCTCCTTGAGCAGTCGCATCATGCGCTGCGGCTTCTCGTTCTCATTGCAGATCTCGACGATCTGTCTGATGTTGTGGTTGGCCGACAGATTCATCGAACCGATGTTGATCTGTATGTAATCGTTGAGAAAATCGCCGGCAAGCGCCTGCACCTCCTTCGGCCAGGTGGCCGACCACATAACAACCTGACGATCCGGACGGATCTGTTCGATGATTTTGCGTATCTGCGGCTCGAAGCCCATGTCGAGCATGCGATCGGCCTCGTCCAGTACGAGATATGTGCAACGCTGCAAATTGGTATTGCGATTCTCGAGGAAATCAATTAGACGGCCGGGTGTCGCAATGATCACCTCAACGCCGCGCTCCAAATCGCGCACCTGTGGCACCTTTGAGGAGCCACCAAAAATGCATGTATGACGTATTTCAGGCTTGCACAAATGGCCATAGTCCCGCACCACCGACTGGATCTGCTGGGCCAATTCGCGTGTGGGCGCCAGCACCAGGGCGATGGGTCCCTCGCCGCGCATAATTGGCGGCTGGTTGCCAATGTGGACAATTGCTGGCAGCATGTAGGCCAGCGTTTTGCCGGAGCCCGTTTGGGCGATGCCGACAAGATCACGTCCGCTCAATGCAATTGGCCAGCCCTGGGATTGGATGGCGGTCGGTTTGGTGAAACCCTGACGTTTCATCTCATCGATAACGTGCGTGGGCAGTGATGACTCCTCGAAATTGGCAACCGGATGCGGTAGATCATTGCCCGATACGGTTATCTCCAATTCGTGACGCATTTCGGCCACTGCCTGTTCGCTGCGATTCAATGTATTCGGATGCATTATGTAGAAATCCTTGAGGAACGGCTGCAAATTCTCCCAATGCGGCTTAACCAGATTCCGTCCCGGATTCTTGGCCTTCTCACGCTGCAATTCGGCGCGCTCCTCCTTCGATAGCATGCCCAATGCGGCCGCATTATAATTGGCACTGCCGCCACTGCCCTGATAGCCACCGCCGCCGCCGCCATTTCCCATGCCATTGTGGGGCTTCTGATAGCGTTGCGTATAATTGGGATTCTTGACACGCGGTCCCTGAAAGGCGATGCCATTGGCACCAGCGAATGCGCCATTTTGCATCGCACCACCGCCGCCGCGATACGGATTGCCGCCGGCGGCACCCATGCTAATGCCATTCTGTATGCCATAGGTCATCACACCGTACGGTTGACTAAAATGCATACCGCCAGCAGCAGCGCCGCCGCCTGCGCCATTTAAAGCAGCAGCAGCTGCCGCATTGCCGGCAGCGCTGGCATAATTATTGCGCGGATAGTAGGGACGTTCGTGGCGCGGTCCATTGCCGCCGCCAGCGGCTGCGCCGCCACCACCATTGCCATAGTAGCCGCCTGTATGCTGCTGCTGGACACCGCCTGCGTTCGGTGCATATGCGCCTGCGTACATTTTATTTGATTTGTATTTATATTTATATTTATGTTGCTGTAGCTGTCGATGTTGCTGTCGCTGTTGCCTTTGCTGCCGCCTTTGCTGTTGCTGTTGCTGTGGTTGCTGTTGTTGCAATCAATTTGTTTGTCTTTGCTGCTTTCGACGCTTTCCGCTGCTGCCGCCGCCGCTTCTATGGCCTGGTTGAGGTGCATACAAATACAAAATATAATAATAATTAATACAAATAAATTGAAAACTAATTAAATACATAATACAGTCGACTTTTCTAAATTTTCTATGAATCAAGCACTCACTAATAGTGAACACTTAACCCCAACCCCAAGCAAAGTCCTCTTGGAGCCGCAAACAGAAGCAGACTTTTTTTTCTTGTTAGTAATAGAAATACTCTGTAGCAGGGTTTGTTAGTGTATTTACCAAATATATACATAAATGCATACAACTAGGTAGGTAGATAATGCCTGCATTCAAAACTGGGATCAAGACTTTATATGTACATAGATAAAGCACAGTCATCGAAGATGTCGCGTAACAAAATTAACCTTTGCAAAGGGCCCTTTTTATATGGATCTAATATGAGGAGCATTAACACACTGTAATAAATGGCAGATGTTACACGATGCTATTTAAACATGTGACCTGGAAAATTACACTTGCATACATACACAAATACACACACAACACGCACACACACCGAGAGTGGTGAACAAGAAACATAAATATGTTTATTAAATAAATGCAATTGGTTCTTTATTTATTTATTTGTTTTTTTTGTTTCGTTCTTTTATTTTCATTATTTATTTAGAATGAACCAAGCGAGCTTCAGAGAACAAGTCTTGCGGGAGCCGGTTCACAAGCCGAGCAAGCTCATGCGGGGACTGACTTTTGAGACAGCATTGATAAATACGAATGCATGTGTGTATGAACATATATATATATACATATGTACATACATACATGTATGTGCATGTTCATATGTACATTGTGTACAACGGTACCTTTGTATGTAAAAATTGCACTTGAGTGTTGATTAGTTTAGTAGTTGCGCATGCAATTGAACCACACAATGACACGAGAATTCTTTTCTACAGCTTAATTCCATAAAGCTAACTGCATAAGTGAAATATGCCAAAACAGCGCACCGTCGTCTCGTATCAACCTATCAACAGACAAGGCGCCGCACCGTTCGCGCAAAAAAAAAATCAATACAGCATCGCCAGCGGCCGACCAAAAGGGAAGAAAAAACAGAACAGAACAGAAACAGAAAGAGAGCAACACGCAGAACGGCACGCACACAAACACACCACACTGTATACATGTATATATGTATGTATGCTTGTACGTATGTATGTATGCATGTATATGTATGTGCACATGCAGAGACACATCGTAGCAGATTTACTTACCCTTTATTTTATTTTCGTTAGTGGTTGACTTTAAGTAATTTTGATCTACTTTGGAACGTTGCACAAAATATCCTTTTCGTTTACTAATCGTACTTGATGCGGTCGCGTATAAATCTTATTTGCGGATTTTAAGTGAAATTTGTTTTTTTTTTGTGTCGATTTTTTTTTTGTCGTCACGCCTAGTGTAAGAAAACTAGAGCTAGAGCTTGAAATCAATTTCTTTTAACACTGAAAACTATCTTTAAAGCTAACTAAAAGTGTACTTGGTTTTACACTATTTTATGAAAAACTAATGCCTATTACTTTTCTTGTGTATTTGTATATGTATTTTTACAACAAAAAAAGTTTTGCAAGATGGTAATTTCAGCAATTACCACCAATGTGAGAAGAGAGTTGCAAGCGCATTGTGTTATCGTATTTGCACGCGATATTAATCGATTGCACCAGTGCGATACCTCATTGCACACCATTCGCTGACAATTGTGACCGCAATTTGCAATTAGCCTGGCAACCCAGGCAGACAGGTAAGTGCTACCTTTGATTTTGAAGTCACGGTGACAAGTGACAGTAATTCGTGATATTCAAAATAAATAAATAATTTCAAGTAACCATTTAATTACAGCATATGCATTTTTTATATTATTGATAGCAAGCTCGACATTAGTACCCGTTATTTTAAATATATATGCCACTAGCAGTAACAGGTACGCTTAACTTGTGTGTTGTTATGTTAAATTTAATTTATTTCCCTATCACAACAATTAACATGCATTTATTATTAACTAACAATTTTTGGCCGCATATTAATTGGAAGCCAGACTAATAAGCAATTTCCGCCGATTTGCGTCCAATTTGAGCAGAAATTTCTGAACACGCAAACTGTAGAACTCACTGGATTTGGCCAGATGAACGCTATGCAATCGCTCCTGTCGCCTGAATGCCTCCAGGCGGCATCTGTCCCGCTGATAGGCAACTATGCTGGCCAAGAAATTCCAAATAGTTATCTGCGGCCACAGCACGTCCGTGAAGTACAACACCGATGTGCTCAGCTGAATGTGACAAGATTAATATTATCATTATTAATGTTTATTTAGATTTATATATATATATATATGTATACCTGCCACATCATAAAGTCACTTAGTCGCGTCTCGCCCGATGTGCGAAAAACCAGATCTGGCGGCGGCGAATGACGCGTATAGAGGCACGCCTCCAGCAGACGCTCATTAATATCCGTGGGTTGCAGTGCATCCTGGCCCTCATCATCATCGTCATCATTATTATTCTTGAGGACAGCCTCAACTGCCTGGGTGATCTCATCACGTGATGTGTACGCAAAGGCGACATTCAAAAACAGTTTATCATTGCGCTCGGTGCGCAACATCGCTGTGGCAACCAATCGCTGCAGATCTTTTGGCAACAGTTCAATATTGCCAATCACACGTATTTGTATGCCGTGTTCATCCAAGCGACTCGTCTCCGCCAGCAATGTGGAGAATTTCTCGCGTGCCAAATTGAAGAGGCCCTCGACCTCTTCGCTGGATCGCTTGAAATTCTCGATGCTGAACGCAAATGTGGTCACCTCACGTATACCCATGTCCAGGCACCAGCGCAGCACATCAGCCAGCTTGGCAAAGCCAAGCGAATGCCCCTCAATCTTGTCAATGTGCTTGGACCGTGCGAACCTTCGATTGCCATCCATGACGAATGCAATGTGATGCGGCACGTAGCCGGTCAGTTGAAGCGTTTGGAACGCCAACTTTTGCAGACACGTATACTGGTAGTCGGAGACCCACGACATCTCTCCCACTTCTCTCCGTTTGCCGCAACCAAAAACAAAATCAACAAAAAAACAACACCTTGTGACAGTCGCCCAAATTGAAAATAAATAAAAAAGTAGAGACAACACCTATCGCGAGCAAGCACCAGTTGCAGTGCTTGCCAACTATCGAATGTAACGAATAACGAATGGTGCAACGATTGTTCACGTGTCGTTTGGTTCATCAGCAGTAACGGCGTTTAGAAAGTCAAATAGAAATATTATGCAAGCATTCAAAGGTTAAACACTCCTTTGCTTTAGTTCTTCGAAAACAAAACAACTTTTTTCTCAAGCTATTTATTCAAACAACTCGATTATTGTTATTATTATTATTATTATCGAAAGGAGTCAACTATATATATATATATATCAAACTCGACAACGCTGACGTCACAATCTCTTATCGAATGGTACGAGGTGTGCAATCTTCTATGATTATGTTATGCTTGTATTGCAACCGTGGGCGCAACTTGACAGCTCGCATGACCATTGTGAACGCTGTGGCAACTCTCCTCTGACAGCTGCTATACAGCCTTCTTTTTTAATATCCGGTTCAAGCAGTTGGTTCGTGCCGTAAATTTCCTCGTTATTTTGTACAATAAAATACGTTTTAATGTTATAACTTCTAAACAAAAACATGAATCGCACTCACGACAACAAGCGCAATATGTTAAGCGCCGATTTAAGCAATATTTTCGTGTTTTTGTTTCGTTGTTCCGCAAATGGCAATTGCACATTTGTTTTGTTTTTCCTCTCGTCTTTTTTTTTAATATTTTATTATTGTGCCAATGTGAAGCTGCCATGTGCCTAATACATACATAGCACGTATATATGTACATAAGTATGTGAAATGAATAATTGTTGAACTGTGTGCGTTGCATGCGTGCTTGCTTCTTCCTCCCAAAACAGTTGCTGATCGTCGCTTATTTGTTGCATTATGGCACCCAGGAAAGCTAAGGTTCAGAAAGAGGAAGTCCAGGTCTCGCTGGGCCCCCAGGTGCGCGATGGCGAGAACGTTTTCGGTGTTGCTCACATCTATGCCAGTTTCAACGACACCTTCGTCCATGTTACCGATTTGTCCGGTCGCGAAACCATCGCACGTGTCACCGGCGGCATGAAGGTCAAGGCCGATCGTGATGAGGCTTCCCCCTACGCCGCCATGTTGGCCGCTCAGGTTCGTTATTATTTTGGTGTTTGTTTTTGGCTTTTATTTTGGATATATGTTGATGATTTTGTTGTTGTACTCAGGATGTGGCTGAAAGGTGCAAGGTGCTCGGCATCACTGCTCTGCACATCAAGCTGCGTGCAACTGGCGGTAACAAGACGAAGACACCCGGACCCGGTGCCCAATCCGCACTGCGTGCTTTGGCTCGTTCCTCCATGAAAATTGGCCGCATCGAGGATGTGACACCCATTCCATCCGATTCCACACGCAGGAAGGGCGGTCGTCGTGGTCGCCGTCTATAAACGGTGTCCTTTACATATATAAATATATATACTTGCGCATCTGAAAAATCAGCCTTGTCTTTTCACATATTTGTATCCAATTAAATTTCGGTGAAAATAGTTTCCAATAAACTTACCGTGTGCAACTACTTAAATCTCTATAATAATTATCATAAATAATATTAGATGTTTGCAAGCTTCTGCAGTATTTGTATGACCATTTGGAATGGCTTGTATAATGTATAAGACAAGCGGTAGGCCGCATCCTAGAAACCCCATTAGGTATATCCATAGATATTCTTGCTCAGCTTTTTTTTTTTTGAGTGTGGATTATTCAAAAACAATTGATGTATGTAAAATCTCGTATCTACATAGATACATTAATATGTATATATATATGTATGTATTGCTGACTCTATTCCTGGTCAAAAAATATGCAGTGAGACCAGCTTTAGAAGCCTTGACTTAAGTGCAGGCAGTGCGAGCGAGATGTATATACATATATGTGTATATATATATGTGTGCAGTCTAAGCAGCACAACAATAAGACAACTTTAGGACTTGGTGTTGGTGAACAGCGCTGTTGGCACGATAGAATTTTACAGTTACTCTTCTCATTGCTTTTCACATTTCATCAACATTCTTGTTGATGTGTTGGTGAACATTGTTGTTGCTGGCTCGACTAGTGTTGAGCGTTTTTACGAGGCAAATGTGAATGAGTGGCAAGCAGCAAGCAGCAACATGGAAACAGCAAAAACAATTATGTGAGTACATAATTATGCACTAATCATATATACATATTTGCACATGTTGAATAAACACTTTTGTATGCATAGCACACATCAGTTACACCAACCTAATCCCTCTATAAATATATATATATAATAATTTTTGTAAATATTTACAAAAATATTTTCCCATCAGTTCATTATTATTATTAATTTTGCTGTTTCTTTTAGTGATGATTATATGTATTTGGAGATACTGTTCCACATTAGCCTCATGTCCGAGTGGGAAGTGAAGCTGGACAGGAAGTTAGGCCAAGAATGAGCCACAATCAGATACTTCTCGAGCTGATGCGCTTCGCCATTGAGGCACATCTGCAACACCATTGATGCAATGCGTCACATTTTAGCCAATGTTTTGCAGCAGCTGCTGCAGCATGCCAAGACGAGCGGGGAGAAGACGACCATAAAGGAGTTATGTGAACATTACAAACGTTCCCGGTACGTGCCCCATGTTGCGACAGTTCGTCGATATTTATGGCACTAACCAATTGCACCCGCAGGTGTTCAATTGCTTGGATAACTGTTTGTATGGTAACTGCGAGCATAACAAGGCACAAGCTGTCTACGTCTTGGGCAAATTATAGAAATGCATTGGCCAAAAAAGTAACCAAATGCTAATCGCCTTGATTGTCTGCATCTTTGGCAATGATACAAATGATGATAATGGTGGACAGCTGCAGATGCGCAATCGCATTTTCTTTACATGCTTTCCCAAACTGTTTGACTACAGGGGGCTGTTGCTTCCGCCTCCCAATGCTACTCAGTCGACTCTGGACAACATCAAGTCCAATTTAAATGTGAGTAGTCTATCTATTTGCAACTAATTGCTCGATTAACAGCTCGACAAATTTGTGCCTTGCCTCAACAGAATGTGTCCCGTTCGTGACAAGGGGTTGCATCAAAATCTTGGCCAATATTTTGAGGCCCAACAAGGCGAAGCTCAAGCATAATCTCAACCAGGTGTGACAAATGAATTTGTTTACAGATTAGTTGAATATGCTATGTAGAATCTTAAAGACAGACCCAAATCGTTCCAAATGAGTGTAAATGTTTAAATTGTAAACATTTTGTGCGAATCTATCCATCTATCTCTTAACCCACAGGGTATACATATATTGTATCTATATTTGTAGTTTCCTTAGTAATCGCCCAATCGTTTTATATATCAAAATCAGCCGAGTCTCATTTAGCTGGCACAGGATCCATCGCTTTAACTATAACTGTATCATCATATAGCTGACATAGCAGCAATCTGTCGAAAGTTGATGCACAAATGTGGAATGTTGAATGAATGAAGCAGAGCTAAAACACAGACATATCCAGTCTGGTAGAGTATATTTTCGGCATGCCTAAAATATCTGCTGTTCCTTGTTTATCGATGCTTTCTGCTATCTCTCTCTCTCTCTCCCTCATCTCACTCTTTCATTTGAACTGAAAATGTAATTCAAGTCTTGTTTGCAGGCCAATCCATTCGGTCAGTTGCTGCAGGCCGTGGAACTGTCTCGCATCATAGGCTGGGAGGAGCCATAGTTGGTACTCGTACTGACCTCGCTGGCTGTGCAGATCTATAATGTCAATGCGGATGATATATGTTTATTTAACTCCATTCTACATGTGCTGGTTAGCATTACACAGGATACGCAAGGCTACTTTGTTGACGAGCAGGCTGACCTTAGCTCGCGCCAAGATCTATCAGCTGGCTCACCGGGACATCTGCGAGGGCTTTGTGATGGCTGGCATACCGCCGAGACTGCATTTGGAAACTGAAACTGGAAAACCTATTGTTTTGATGATGCGGATGCTGGTGCAGCCGTGGGACATGTGTGCAAATCGCGACTAGAGATGCTCAGCAACCTCTACATGCTACTGGCGTTCCTCAGCGAATTGGAGCTGACCCCGTTGAGCAGCTGGTCGAACGCAACATGTTCGTGCTGAGCCGGATAGGGGCCAACTGTCTGTTGCGCCAGATCACGCATAACTGCAGGTGGCAGCTAATTCGGCCGATATGCTTAACAACATTAAGCAAGTGATCGATGCTTTAAATGTGTTGATCGAATTTAGAGTGATATTCCAATTTAATGCTTAAGTCATAAATAGCGTTAAGCTATACAACTTTAGCACTGAATAAATGCATTCACCAACCGATTTGTTTGTTGTCTGTTTTTATTTATTCCTCAATTACAAATTTGTTCAGATTAGCCAATAAGAAGTATAACAGAATGTTATGCTCGATAGTATGAATAAGTTAACATCGATTGTAAGTTAATATCGATAGGTGCACACCACTATCACACATATCAGGCTCATACAATTGGCGATATATCGATATGATTGGCCATCCCTATAGAGAGCGCCAGTCTGATAAGATGCTCGTGAGCGTGTGTGACGAGCGTCCGTGCTGAAATATATTTTTTCGCTGCGAGTGCGTGTGCTTTGGCAACGGCAGCTGCTGCTGCTGTTGTTCATTTTTGTTGTTTTTGTCTTGTTTTGTTGTTTCTGAATGTGAATCTGTATTAACATTAAAATTGCACTCAGATCGTCTGTGTTGCACTCAACTTCCAATAGGAGCGCCCCTCCAGCTACAAGCGGGCGGGCGTTCGCCCCAAATGCTATATATGTGTGTGTGTGTGTGTTGTTGTTGTTGTCAACTTTCTTGGGGCAAAACATAAATCGAATTTCATTAATTTTATAAATGGGGGAAGAAAACGTGCAGTTTTTCATAGAGCCCCTTTGGCAGTAGCAGTGTGTTTATTCTTTTGTTAATTTCATTTTTCTTTTGTTGATGTTTTTAGCAATGTGAGCAGTGACCAGTGTGTGTGCCTCTGTGTGTTTTCAATGTGTGTGTATATGTGTATGTATACGTGAGCAAACTACGCACAGTGTTGCCATATCGTCGCAATTTAGTGAGCGTAAACAAATGTCTTGTAATATATTTTTTTTTAACTTACATGCATACCTAAGTGCGTGTGTGTATGTGTGTGTGTGTGTGTGTATAAGTGGTTGTGTGTACGTGAGTGTTGGCGCATCTGCAATGCATAAATTATGATGAAATCTGTATGCCTGCATACCGTATATTTGTTTATGTTTATGAATGACGACAAAAATGTGTTGCATATTTTATAGGCTACAAAAAAAGGCACTAAAACCACACAGCGTCCACAACAACAACAACAACAGCAGCAACAATAATAACAAATCAAAAGACAATTTATACCATCAGTGAAAAAAAAAACAATAACAATAACGAAACGGTAAACAACGCAACGGTACTTTAGGCCAGGCGTCAGGCCCATTGACCAAATGGCGCTGCTGCTGCCAATGCCGAGGAATGGCTTTGGCTTGAACTTTTACTGGTATTCCCAGCTTACCTAAAAAGTACACTGCGACTGCGAGCGAGAGCGAGAGCGTCAGGTATTTATATGTCTATCTATGTGTGTATGTATGTATATATATATATACATATATATATATATATATATATATATGTATGTGTGTGTATACATATGTAACACACAATTTCAAAGCTTGACTTCGTGTTTGTTGTAATAGCAATCGCAGAGATTGTTTTATTAGAGAGAGACGGCGAGAGAGAGAGTGAGACACACAGACAGACAGTCGGACAGAGTCAAAATGCCGCCTAATTTCCGGCCCCTTGGCTTTATGGTCACTTTTGCCAAAAATCACGTAAATCATTTCGGTTTTGTTAGGGTTAATTTTTTAAAATTGGTTCATTTAATTAACGCATCAGATTAGCGAGAATCCAACGATTTTTTCAACGATAATTCCGCTCCAGGTTTTTTTTTTTTTTTTTTTCGTTTTTAATGAGGGTAGAAACTTCAACGAACATTTTCATTGTTTGGCACGTGCCGACACTTGAACCAAAAAAAAAAAATTAAATTAAGAAAAAAAAGTAAAGTGGAAAGCGACTTTCCACTGACTCAGCTGCTTCTTCTTCTGCTTCTGACATACATTCTAGTGCATTTATTGAGCAGAATATAATTGAATAAAATGCATATTTTTTTTTTAAAATATTTGGATAAATATTTTCTTTTTTTTTGGTAATGATAAAGTCTCTTTATGAACATGTTGGTTTCATTGGTTTGTCATTAAACCAGATTTGATTAACATCGCTTGATCATAATTGTTTGCCTAACGGAATTATCCGGCTTGGTTTTGGCCATATTTAAACTAATAATTTCTCACAGGCATTCGAAATATATCGGAGCATATAAACCATTATAACAAAGAAAACATTTATCTATCAAACCATAAACAAAATGTTTCGGAAGCAGCTCAATTTTTGCACCAGATTCGACTGGATTTTTGATAAGTGGTACGGTTCACAGTTTTGGGTTCGGAGTGGCTTAAGATCCGCATTCCAACCGGTTTGTTGTGCAGCCTTGAACTCCAAAACTTTTGTTTACTGCTCTCTCTCTCTCTCTGTCTCACTTTCTTTGTTTCTCTCACACATTATATATTTCTCTCTCTCTCTCTCTCTCTCTTACACTCTCTTACCCTCTTTCGATCTGTATCTGTATTTGGAATTTCCATAGTCTCTTGGCAGCTGGGCAACGCACAAAACATGGGGCCGAAGAAGCGTGCCAGCGTCGCTGAGCGACTCCAGCGCTCCGCAACAGCTGCTCCAACGACGACGACGACGACGACGTCAGCATCGGCGGCGATGGTCTCGTCCGGAGCGCCGACGACGTCAACGGCTAAGAAACGCAGCGGCGGCAAGCAGCAAAAGCTAACGGATGAGCCGGATGAGAAGAAGTGCGCCAAATCCGAGGCAATAACAACAACAACAGCAGCAACAACAACAACGAAGCGCCAGCAGCAGCAGCAGCAGCAGCAAGCAACAACTGCAGTTGCAACAACAACAACAACAACAGCAACAACAACTGGCAGCACTGACAAACAGGAGAAAGCTGGTGCTGCTGCTGCTGATACTGCTGCTGTTGCAGCTGCTGCTGCTGGTGCTGGTGCTGGTGCTGGTGCTGGTGCTGGTGCTGGGTGCAATCAGTTGAAGCTATCGCCGGAGGAGCGTCAGGAGGATGGCAAAGCGCGTGCAATAAATAAAATGCTCAAAAGTTTGGACATTAAAATCCATGGCTTTGACAATCTGCTGCCGAGCGGTGAGGAGCGCATGAGCGAGGGTCTCAAGTCATCCATATCGGAGAACGTGAAGACCAAATCTCGTGCCGCTGCGGTCAAGGTCATAGCTAGCCTCAATCCTGGCAAGCCGATTGCCGTCAAGCGACAGCGGACGGACGCACAAGAGACCACAGGCAAGTCCGATAAGGATAAGGACAAGGACAAGGACAGAGATAAGGACAAGGACAGGGACAAGGAGAAAGAGGAAGCGCATTGCGATAGCAAAGAATCAAGTGGCACCAAAGCTGGCAAGTCGTCAGCCAAAAAGGCCAAATTGGAGGCGCCACCAACGAATGCGGGCAAGGTCAACAAATTGGCGACTAAGAAAACAACAGCAACAGTTGCTGTCGAGCAGCAGTCGCAACCGGCCAAGAAAGACAAAACCAGGGCTGGCAAAAAGACGCAAACAGCAACAACAACAACAACAACCGCAACCGGAACAACAACAACAACAGCAATAAATGAATCGGAACCGGAGAAATGCAAAACGCGTGCACAGCTCGACTCCAACACGGAGCTGGTGCAAATGGAACTGGAGGAGATTAATAGCACGCCAGTGCCAACATCTACGTCGACGACGGCGACGCCAACGGCAGCAGCGACACCCACCACGCCGACGCCAACGCCAACGCCCGCCATGCCACACATGGAGGCAACGCCGACGGGCTGCGGCATTGCAACAACAGCCATCGGTTCGACAGCGGCGCCCGCCAAACAGCGACCCAAAAACAAATATAGTAAAACATCCGCGGCAAAGGCGCGACTGCAGCAGGCCTGCAGTAAAACGGCGCTCAGCTGCCTCAAGGATGCCAGCAGCAAGGATGATATATACGATTTCAAGTCCGGTTCCGAGGATGAGGGCCCCATCAAAATGGTGCTGCCCATGCTGAAGGAGTTGCGTGACTTTTCCGACGAGGACAACAAGCCGCTGAAGCTGCTGGAGCAACATCTAAGCACCAACAACGAAAACCTAATTGTTAAACAGGAGCAAACAGCAGCAACAGCAACAGCAGCAACAACAATAGCAGCAGCAACAGTTGATATCGTGGAGCAAAAGCCCGAAATGCAAACAAAAGCTGTTGGCAAGAAGCAAGCCAAGCTTAAGATAAACACGCCAACGCCAGCAGCAGCAGCAGCAGCAGCAACAACAGCAGCAGCAGCAACAACAACAACTGTTGCTGCCAGCAGCAGCAGCAGCAGCAAGAGCAAAAAACAAACGGCAGCAAAATTAAAACAACAACAGCAGCAACAGCTGCCGCCAAGCGATAGTTCGCATGCGGATAGCAGCGACTCCGAGGATGAGAAGAAGCTGAGCATCATGTATGGAGCGAAGCGTCATCGGATGGCCTCACTGAATGCACTGGCCAAGGTGCAGTGCCTCTATGAGAATGAATCGCGCACCGCCCACGAATTGGGACTGTCGAAGGCGACGCAGCAGCCGCCGCGGATACGGACGCTCGATGGCAGCGATGATGACAACAATCGTGGCGATCTGCCGCCGGACAAGGAGCGTGACAAGGATAGGGACAGGGATAGGGATAGAGATAAGGATAAGGAGCGTGACAAGGACAGAGATAAGGAGAAGGAGAAAAGTGAGGCGGATAAATCGAGTGTGGCGGAACCGAGACGCGAACTGCGCTATGTGCCGGGTGGACGGGGTGTGGGCAAGCATTGGGAATTCGATAGCGATAGCGAGGCGGAGGAGCTGCAACTGCATCGACTCCAGCAACAGAAGCAGAAGAAGAAGCTGCCCAAGAAAACGCCGGCGAAGAAACAACAACAGCTCAACGAGACCGAGTCCAAAAAGAAGAGTCAGAAGAAAGTGCAAGCGGCCGAGGATAGTGGCGATGATGCAACCGATGCCCACCAACACCATCAGCATCCTCATCATCATCAGCAACAACAACATCAACAACAACAGCAGACGGACGAGACAAAGGAGAAACAGACAAAGACATCGGCGCCCAAACAGCTGCCCAAGAAGCGCAAAAGCGTCTTCACCGAGGAGCTCATCGGTGACTACAAGGGCATCTTGGCACGCAAACGGATGGCCAGCCTAAATGCCAGCGCCATTGTGGCGGCCACTTACGAGGTGGAACGGCATCTGGACAAGAATCTCGACAGCGATTGCAGCAGTTTCGAGAGCTACGATGAGCTGGACATGTTCCCCAACAATAGCAAGGCAATAACAGCAAGTTCCACGTCGTCAACGATGCCGTCAACGTCAGCGTCGGCGTCAACGAAGGCGACTTCAAGCAAGGCACAGGCGGCGGCTAAAGCGGCACATGCCGCTGAGCTGTTGCACCTCAAAAGGGAGGCCAAGGAGACGAAGGAGCGGGAGGCGAGGGAGGCCAAAGAACTGAAGGAGCTCAAGGATAAGCCGCAGAGTAATATGATCGAGGAGAGCAACGATTCCAAATACTCCAAGGAGACAAAGGAGACGAATACGGATACAACGATCACAACGACAACCGGGTATCGTGGCGGTGACTCCAGCAGCGCCAAGGATACCAAGGAGACGAGTCGACCGACATCGTCCAGTGTGGTCATCGTACAGGATACGGATGTCACCATTACCGGTGTCTATGTGAATGCCAGCAACGGTGCCGCCCAGGAGGCATACTGTAAAATGCAATATCGTGTTCAGTCCAGCGTCACCGAGGAGCGTGTCCTGCGGCCCAGCTCGGTGGAGCCACCCAAATCCTATACACCACTCAGCGCTCTATCCAGCATGTTGCCACCCGGCGCTAATTCTGGCCACAGCGAGGGTAAGTCTCCATTCAACTTAATAGTCAAAACATTTTTGCCAACATTTTTCAAATATCGAAAGTAATTTGGAGCTCAGCTTTAAATTTGTCTTCAGAAATTTCAAGTCAAATTTGTTTGTTGTTTTTCTTGTCGAAGATTTCACATATTTATATAAAAAACGTTTCCACTGATTGAATGACATTTTCTGTCTCGCATTTGATTTATTACACTTAATTTAATTTGCTTTTATTATTTATTTGTTTATAAAAGAGAAGTTGCTATTTGTTTAAAGTTATTCAAAAATTTGGTATTGTTTAACATTTAAAATGTGTACTTAATACAGAAACCCAACTGATGAATAGCGCTTCCTGGAAACCAGGACATTAAAGTCTCGATGAAAATCGATTAATATCGATTAATATGCTTGTCTGAAAATATTTATGCTAATGGCTATCGCGGCCTCCGTTATCTATACAAATATTTGAAGTTCGTTTTGTTACACACCAATAATTATAGAATAATATGACACGCAATTTTTGTTGCAACATTTTCAATTTAAAGATCAATATTTAAAATATTTACTGTTTCCATTTTTTTTTTTAATTGATTTTTTTATAGTAATTGAAAATTGAGAAATACTTGAGAACTTGAGAATATGCTCGAAAATGCGATCTGATGAATTGAAAGTGGAATGAATTCTGGCTTAGACGATAATCGTTATTGATTGAATATTTGAATATTTGTTTCCCACAGCACACAGCTCACCGCCGCTGCCGGTGCAACCGCCGCCGCCACATATGCCACATGTGCTGCTGCCGTGTGAACCGCTCAGTGCGGGCATGTATCATGCACCGGATTTGGGTCTGCATACGGAGCATATGCCGCCGGATCATCATGGTCCACCGCCGCCATCTTATGCAGCCGCTGCGGCAGCAGCTGCAGCGGCCGCTGCCGCTTACCATGCACATCAGCTGGCGCCCGCTGGCAACGGTGTGTTGCATATGCATCATCAGCATCAGTATGCGGCCGCCCATGCAGCGCACGCCGCACACGCCCATCATTATCAGCAGGCGGCCGAGTATCATGGCGGTCCGCCGCCGCCACCGCCGCCCCATCACTATGGCGGACCACCGCCACAGGGACACTATGGCCCGCCGCCGGTTGGATCGCTGCCCGTTGGTCCGCCAACGGTGCCGCCGGACCGTTGTGATGTTGGCTCGCCGCCGCCATCGTATAGGGCCAGCGCATATCCGCCACCGCCGCCCGTTGGCCCACCACCAACGATGGGCGGTGGTGCGAGTGCATTTTGTGCACCCAATCCGCATCATCATCATCACCAGCATCAGCATCAGCCGCAGCCACAGCAGACGGGTCCGCCGCTACCACATCATGATCCCAGCGGTAAGTTACGGGTCCACAAGAGACCAAAGTATTTTACAAAATAAACTTTTTGGCTTGGTTTTTTTGGTTCACAAATTGATTTTGACATTTGCTATATGCTCCCCAACCAGGAGCAGGGTATCGGGAGGTATCTATGTACATATATCCATCCATTGTGAAATGTATCTGTCTTCGATTGTATTTCCTTGTTGAATGCCACTGGCAAAGATTCGAAAAATATTTGAAAGCAGTTGACTTTTATTAAAAAAGAAAATCTTCTTTAAAATGGGATTATTTTTGATTATTCATATAATTGTCAATATTTATAAATATACTTAAATAACTCAAATTTGGAGCTAAACCAATTGAAATTTGTGCAATATCATAAGAAACTGTAGTATGCTGCAGTATTATATTATTTTATCTACAAACAAAATGTTTTCAAATAAGTATTCAAAACTGAGCATGACAAAAAAAAACAAGAAAAGAAACGATTCAAATAGAGTATCTCGCTTGCAATATTCAATTTGAGTTCAGGAAAACTGAAAACAGCTTGAGGCCGTGTGCCTTTTGTCACGCCCCCCCGTCCTCCCGTCGCAGCACCATTATTGATTTTGGTTATCAGCAAACAATAAGCGACAATTTCTAGTATCGAAAAAGTTTTCAACGCATATAGCAACTTGGCCTGAGGCAATGCTCCATTCTGATTAGTTATTAAAGATGTTCCCAAAGCTGCAAACTTCAAGAATTTATAAATGTGTGTGTGTGTGTATGTGTGTGTATGTGTGTGTGTGTGTGTGTGTGTGTGTGTGTGTGTGTGTGTGTATGTATGTGCATGTGTGCGTCTGTCTGCTGCCTGCAGCCTGCAGCCTGCTCAGTTTGTAGCAATTGCTTAAAGAGGATGTAAAAAATGCATTGCATATATTTAGGCGCGCGCATTGAAACTCAGTCGCTGTCTGTGTGTGTGTTTTATGTGTGTGTGTGTGTGTGTGTGTTTTATGAGTGTGTGTGAGTGTTTGGCTTAAGCCGGAAACTGTAAGCAGGCAAGCAGCAAACGGAAACCGAGACCGAGACCAGAGAATGCAAGCAAAAAGTAAACATGCTGCACTCACTCTCGCTGTCGCTGTCGCGGTCGCAGTCGCAGCCGCAGTCAGCGCCAGCGTCAGCCTTAGTTACGCGCAGCGAGCAACTGAGGAGCCAGCCAACCTCCATTGATGTCATTTACCTCTTGGTACAGACACACACACACACACACACACACACATCTATACGTATATTTATGAATATATGTATGTGTGTATGTATTTATTTATAGACGCGGACGGACGTGTTACACACAGACAGACAAACTAATACGACTGACTGCATGTGGCAGAAAGTTGCGTTAACAGGCGCCTGAACGTGTGCTACATATTTTTTTTGGCTACATATAACCAAGCACAAGGTTAACAATAGAGTCGCTCAGTCAACGCCGCCTATCGATAATATTGCCAATCATCGGGCATTTATTGACTTACATTTTGTTATTAGGTGCTATATTTATGCATATGCATATATAAATGCATAAAGTTTTTGTATGTGTTCAGAGCAGGTTAAACCTTTAAATTCGTCTACACTTAATCGATCATTTTATTTTCAAGCATCGATTAGTTATCGATAGATATTTATGGCTAGTTATATCATTTCTATCGAGATGCTTAGCTGCATCAGCTATTTAAATCTGTCTATATATTTATATATATTTGCATTGTTAATATCTAGGAAGTACAGATCTGTACTTAAAGTAAATATACTATATTATTTGCATTTAGCATTGCATAAGTATGCAACTCAACTTATTTATTCATATTCATTCGGCTGACTTTAGGACATATAAGCTGTCTGCACTTATGGTGTCAATCAGCTTAAGCGCTGATTCACGACACCTTTACACTCATTCAGTGTGACTGCATTCATTCATTAAGCTGTTATTCATATGCTATATGTTATATGCTATATGCCATTTACCATTTGCCGTTGATTGCACAGTAGCTTGCCATAATAAGTAGGCTACCATTTAGGAGTGCTCCACATCCAGTTCTATGCATGTGTGTGTGTGTGTCTGTACTAGTTATATATATTTCAATTGTATTGTCCCTCATCCATTCATTTATCCTTGTCCATGCGTCCACGGTGTCCGCCGTGAGTGTTTGCATTTTACGCTGTGTCGACAGTGGATAATTCATTAGCACATGTTCTATTTGACGTTCGTTCATCCATGTTAAATTACACACCCACACACACACACACACAAACACACACACACAAACACACACACACAGAAGCTAAAATGAGAGCTTGCTGCGCTGCGTTCGTCCTGTTACCCCTGTTCCCTCTGCTCTGCTGCTACTGCTGCTGCTGCGTCTCTGTTACAAGCTGCTGATAAGCGCCAGCAGCGATATATATATGAACAGAGAGTGAGAGAGAGCGAGAGAGAGAGAGAGCACATTTATAGCGAGAGTGCAGTAAGGATAGTGTGTTATTTTTCTTCATTTTTTGTTGCTTTCCATATTGTTGTTGGTTTTTTTTTCTTCTTTTTTTTTTGAGTGTTGATTTCTTCTTTTTTTTTTGCACACTGCCGGCTGGCCGGCATCGTTGTCGTCATCGTTGTCGTCGACGTCGTCGTCGACGTCGAGTTACGTTTTAGTGCTCATTTAGACGTCGGGACGACAACGTAACGTAACGAATCGATGGCGATGGCAACGATGCCAACGACGTTTGTGGTTAGAACACGAGGATCATAATGTGTATGCTGATGATGATGATGATGATGATGAAGATGGTTTGATGATTTGATGATTATGTCGTTTAAAGTTCGAACGGCGAGCGCTCGCCATGCATCGCATTGCGTATACGTAACGTGTAACGTGTAACGTGAATCGCGCGTGCTGTTGATGGATAATTTGTTGTTATTGTTGTTATTGTCGTCGCTTTTTTTTCCGTATTTTTTTTATTGTTATTATTGTGCTGTGTCGTGTTTGTTGTTGGCGTCATCGTCGCGTTGTTATTGTCGGCATTTGGCATGTTGTCAGCAGTCAGCAGTCAGCAGTAAACAACAACAGCAACAACAACAACTAGCAATTATTGTCTCGTGCCTTGTTCGCAACGTTTTCGGTTGATATTGCTATTGCTACTGCTGCTATTATTGTTATGGCTATAATTTTAATTGTTATTAAACAAATCAAAAAGCAAAAGCAAAAACAAAAACAAAAAGAAAACAACGCACGGTTTGTTGATGCACATTGCGATTGAGAAATGTGTTTTGAAAAACCCCGCCGAGAACGCACCGCCCCGCCCAAGTTGCAGTCAAGTGCCGGCTCCGGCTCCGGCTCCGGTTTCGTGCTTCGTATTCCGTGTTTTGTCGTACAATCATGCAGTCGCAGACATCCCAGCATGCCCCAAGCTCGGTGCTGACCATAGATCTAATTAGCGTTGCATTTTCCAGTTAATTTTAATTGAAACTGATTTATGAACAACGCAATTTTTTTTTAACTGCGCCGAGTTATTTTCATTCTTTGTACCTCTCTCTCTTTCTCTCTCTCTATCTCTCTCTCCTTTTCTCTTTGCGTTTCTCTGTGCATTCATTTGTTTTGTTGCTGCTGACGGCGGTTTTTGTTGTTGTTGTTGTTTTGCCTCTGTTCTTTTATTCTATTGAGAAAAAGCTAGAAAAGCATCCGGCTAGCGACGCTCAAAATTCTCTTCGTGTACATGCACAGGCGACAAATCTGTCGCTAATAAGTCGTTTTTTGTTTTATTTTATTTTATTTTAAAATTTATGTCAATTGCACAAATTATTTCTTTCTTTAAAAGATTTTGATTTTTTAAATATTGTCTTAATGTTTCTGTTTTTGTATCTGTAATACTTTTTGAAAAGTATTTATGTCAATAATAATATTGACAGAAAATGATTCATTTTTCTTATTTATAATATGTATTTGAAAAAGTTGCCTGTTGCCAGTGAGAAATATTTGTTTCAGTTGGAAAAATGTATCAATACTGCTTTAAAGCTAATATTTTTTTGTTATGTAAACAAATAAACAATAATTGAAGAAAAGTAATTTGTTGGTGAAAACGTAGCTGCTCAGAGAGTCGCACAAAGTGTGGCGAAAATCAAATCGCTTGCGACGCGTTTGTCGGTTGGCATTGTGCGCTGCATTCTGTCTTCTTTGGGAAGCGCTGCAGCAGAAGCAGAAGCAGCAGCAAAAGCAGAAGTAGTGAGCGCCAAGTCGCGCCTCTCCATACCATGACGCGCGCTCTTTCTCGTTCTCTCTCTCTCCATGTATATATATGTATACATATATATATATGTATTTCATATACGCTCTCTTCATCTTGCACTCTCTGAATCCGCTGTGGCTCTCGAGACGTTTAGCTTTGCGCTGCGCGCCACATAAAAAGCTAACGGCAGAAAATCGCATCGCTGTCGTCGTCGTTTGTTTTAGTTTTAGTTTTTGTTATTGCTGCTGCTGCTGCCTGTCTTTGTTTTTTTCTTTATGTTGTTTTTTTTTTTTTGCTAATTTCTTATAAGAATTTTCTTGAACAATTTTCCTGGTGCGTTGCGCCGCTTTCGTTGTTGCCGTCCCGGTTTTTGACTAGAAGTTGTTGGCAGCGCCGGCAACTCGTTCTTTTTTTTGTTGCGCTTATTGCTGTTGCTGCTGCTTGCAACTGCTTCTTTTTTTTTTGCTGAGTCTGTCACCGTTTAACGGTGCTTTTCGGTCAAGCATGTGTGTGTGTGTGAGTGAGAATCACTTGCAAGCTGGCAACAAAAAAGTACCCTCCAGTGGGCGGTGGCTGTTGCCTGCCTTCTGTCTGTGTCTCTGCTCCTTTTGCATCGCTCTTCTTTTTTGTTGGTCCTCGTCTCGCTGTTAGCTCTTATCTGTTATCAGCTATCAGCCCAAGCCGCACACACACACACACACACACATACATAAATAGAAGCACATTGTGCAACATTTGTGTGGCATGTGCTGTATACAAATCGACATACAATGCTCTACATTTAACTAGCGACAGACAGAGACAGAGTGCATATGATAAACAGAGACAGACAGCGACGTAAAGAGTGTGTGAGAGAGAGAGAGAGAGAGATCGGCAGAGAGAGAGCAAGAGTGAGACAGAGATATCAAAAAATGGAAAATGTAAACAGATTCATTGGGGCAACTGGCGCTGACACATTGCAACGAGCAGCCCTTCGACTCATCAGCAGCCACCCCTCCCCTTCCCTTCCCTTCCCTTCCCTTCCCTTCAACGACCCGCTTGCTAGCGGTGTGCATTTAGGCCACAAAAATGCCATCGCTGACAATGTCCAAAAAAGCCAAGCACAAACAGAACATACAAAATAAGAACAACAAAAAACTGAAACCAAACCAAACCAAACCAAACCAAAAAAAAAACAAAAAACAGAAACAAAAACAAATACAAAAAATAAACTCGTATGCAAAGAACAAGAAAAGCAGCGTCAGAAGAATGTGAATGCGAACGGGAATGCATATATCGAGAAAAAATATATAAATCGTACACCCTTCCCTTCCCACTTTTCACTCTCCTCATTCAAAGCCCCCCAAAGTTCGAACAGACTCTCCCCCAACACACCACACCACAACACACCCTCTGCCTGCGGTGCGCCAATGTTCGACAAATAAATTTCGAAAATTCGCGTTGAAAATAAGTCGACGTGAGTGACACATAAAAAAAAGTGAGTGTGCAGAAGTCAGCGGAGGGGGTGGAGCGGTTGGTGTGGGTGGAGTGACTTATCCCAGTTGCGTACTGGAATACATTGAGCAGAACTAATATTACCTGGCCACCATTCCAAACATGACCTGTTCCCAGATGATACGATGTCGACTTATCCAGCTGACACAATGATTAGCTTCTCCAGTTTTCAGCGACATAAACACATAAATACTCATATGTCTGTGTATGTATGTGTGTGTGTGTGTGTATGTGCACACACACATACACATAGGCATGTGCATAAATAGATGCCATGTGTGTATTCGTACTTAACCCATTAAAAGCCAAGACCCACAAAACAATGGAATTTTTATGTTTTTATGTTTTATTGTTTCATTTTTTGTACTTTAGACTATCATAATCGAATGCATATATATGTATATATATATATGTATATGTATGTGTGTGACCTGTTTGTTCAGGGAAACTATGGCAGCTATATGCACTCGTCTTGCACGGATTTTGGATTAAAGTATTACATACATGTGCAGATTAACATTTTTTTTAAGAAAAAATAATAATAATAATACTATTTCAGTCCCCCTATCCCCATTCCTGATTAGATATTAGTCCATTTTTATGGGTTTTTTCGATTTCGTTTGAATCAAAACAATTTTTGACAATTTTTCGATTAAATCCGTTGAGAGGATTTTTCATAGGCTCCTTTTTGTACGAGGCTATATCGACTAGCGCTGAGAGCGGAGTATCAATTCGAACGGACGTTTCCAATTGAATATGCTGGGCCACAAACAATTCCATCGAGCATGGTATTCCCGTCATGTGGCAATGTGCCTGCGGGGCAAATGCAACCGACTGCCACCTTCAATCGTGTTGATAATGGCGTCGACAGCAACTGCGGCAGCTGTAGCATTATCCGACCTTTCGTCACTCTGTCCTGTCAGACACATACATATATATGCAAAGTACACTTGGAAAAAATTCTTTTTTTTTTTTTTGGTTTTTTCTTTTAGCAACAATTTTTGAATATAAGTAAAAATTGACCAATAATATGTTTTTTTTTTTAAATAAAAAAAAACTCTGGTTTTTAGAAATATATATTAACTGAATAATAAGAAAATAAGATTACGCTTTTTATCCGAGTGTACTAATTGGCCCAGTGGCTCACCTCATGCCACCGATTGCCACTTGCCAACTTGCCGCGCTCTGTGCGAAAAAGCAATTTCGTTGCACGCACATTTCCATATTTTGGTGTTGATGGGTTCGTTTCCTTTTCCGGCGGCGGCCATTTTGTTCTAGTTTGCACTGCACCTGTTTGATTTGACAGTCAGTGTGCAATTTTCGGTGAATTTCCTTGCAACGCTTGGGGGCAGGTAGGCGGCGTGGTTTACCATTTGAATGACAGATTTATTTTAACATTTTGCTGTCACACGCCTCCATTGCAAATGAGTGTGTGTGTGCGTGTGAGTGTGTGCCTGTGTGTGTGTGTGTTGTTTGTGTTATATATATATATATATATATATATATATATATATATATATGTTTGCCTCCCTGTTTGCCTGCTTGCCTGAACTTGCATGTTAACTCAGTGAGCAATTAACAGGCCATTTGCGAGTGCTGCCAGCGTTTATAATTCTCGACTAACAACACAAACACAAACACACACACACACACACATACACCCACACACAGACGCACATACAAAAAGGTGTCAAAGCCAAAAGAATTGTGTACAGGAGCATTGTAACTACAAACACAGAAATCATAAAATCTGATTTGACACGCAAAGTTACAGCCAAAAGCTGCTGCTGCCAACAGCCACAGCAGAGCAGCGCATAGAAAGAGACAGACAGAGAGAGAGAGAGACAGAGAGAGAGATAGTGAGTGAGTGGGCGAGATGGGATTAGTGGACGCCATGCACAACCTGTTAGGATAAGAATTGGCGTGAAAATGTTGCAGGCAACATTGTGACGAAGATTATTGTCCGAAGCGTTTTGCTGCAACACAATTAAGATGCAACTGACAGCAACAACAACAACAACAATAACAAACGAAGCAACAGGCTTAAGCCACACACTTCATGGTGTTAGCCAAGTACTTAAAAAAAGAGCAGTAAATAAAAATTTCTTTCAGTTTCGCCAAGGAAATATAATTAATTTGCATATAAACATTATCTGTTAATTGACATAATCAATCACATGTGAAAAAAAAGAGGCAATTTAAAAATAATTCTAAATATATATGTATATAATTTATTTATGACGCCTCTTGACAAGGCCCACAAATGCTAAATAAGCGAAGCGAATTTCAAAACACATCGAAAGTTAAGTCAATTAATAAAGTGGAAGAAAGATAAATCATTTCGATCCCATTGATAGCATGAGGCGCTCAATTGCGGCGATTATCAGGTTTTAGCCAGTGGCTGTCAACCTTGACACACAATGCAGAACACGGAACGCGAGCTGAGAAGGATTTTGACAAGGACATAATAATCCAAGTACATTCAATGCATAAATACAGACAGGCAGGACAGGCAACTGAACACAAACCAGTCCAGTTTATTGTGGCAATTTCGACACGGCATTGCTGCTGGCCAACAGCTAAGCTGGGCTGAGCTGAGCTTGCCTACCTCTTTCTCTCTATCTATCTGTAGCTGTCTCCCGCTCTCTCTCTCTCTTTCACTCTCTCTCTCTTACGTTTTACGTGGTACTCATTTGCCTAATAGAACCATTATCGACGCCTACACGTACGCTGAATAATAAC